TCCCTTACTGGGGTGTAATGGCAAAGACGCACAACCACCCGGTTCAACACGGTTAAAACTAGCCACAGGCTAGTTGATTTACCTGCTAGAGAAATGTTGGGTAGTACTTAGCCTATCGATAATAAACAGTTTTGGCAGTCAATTGGAATAGCATACCCACACTAACTCTTAGCTCACATGCCGCATTATCACCAAGCGGAAAATTCCCATTTGGGCAATTCCACTTAAAAGAAATTGTAATTGTAGTTAAAAGAAATTGTAATTATAGTTAAAAGAAATTGTATTGTTTTTATTTATTTTGCCTGTTCGTTCGATTTTCGACTATCTGTATGATTGCATCTGTTCCTTGGTTATAGTACATATCCTTCTGGTGTTTTTATAAACAATATTTTTTGATCAGATGTGTATCTGAATAAGGACTGGAAAACATACATAGCCTATAGTAAACCACTGTCCAATTGTACTGCTTCTACGGGGCTAATTTAAGACGGGCTATGAGGGAAATTTTGCTGAACACCGGCGCAACAGCCTATGCCTATTTCGAATTCCAATTGTTAAAGGCTCATTTACACTCACGTCATCGTGTACAGGGGACCTCAGCGTTTTTGTTCCATCCCAACGACTAGACACTTCCTCGTCAGGTCATATCTCCTGCACCATTACAAAGGTACTTTGTCGGCCAACACCGTGATCAAATCCCGGTCCGCCTGGTTAGGAGTCGGTTCCTTAAAAACATTGGGCATTTTATGTTCATTAAGTAATGAAGATTGAAATGCACATTTATATACATCCTTGAAGTTTTAATCTCGTAAAATGTTTTTATCTGAATATAAAATGTATCCAGCAGTTTTAAATCTGACCGTCTGTGCTTTCCATTCAGTATTCGTTGTGTATCTTATCTGTATTGTCTCCGTTTTGTTGTGCATTCTTCTTTGTTTGACTAAATAGAGGGTTTGATAACGTATTAAAGAAAATAACTAATTACATCCCCGAATTTCAAAAATAAAAAACACCCTATAAAAAAAGATATATCTAGATTTGTAGTTGCTGTTGGTGATTTCCCCAAATATTGTCAACAATAGGCCAAGGTATTCAAATTAACACCAGAAACAGAAAGGTGATATATTATCGCCGTATGTTGACCATATAAGAGATTGTTAACAAATAATTTAAAAGTTTTTTTTCCACCTCGACCAATGATGCAAAATTAATATTCACATATAGATTTAAATATATTAAAATAGTTAAATATAAAAAATATTTAAAATTTTTTTTTTTTTTAGTAGTCGAGTTTTTTTAATATCATTAGAATATACCGATTAAGTTCTTAAAAATGTTACGGAAAATATATATCATATTAAGCACGTGTCTTTTCTTTATTCTATACTCTCTGTTAATTGTGCTTATAAATTTTTAAATATCTGAAATATTATAACATTCATCCATGAAATTTTCTTTGTTGAATATTTATATAACAAAATATGCTAAACTCATTAAATAGTAAACACGTATAATTTTCTATCAGTGTTTCAAAGCGTGTCGACAATTTTGATCTTTTCATATTTAATTATAGATAATTCAATTTACGTATTTAGTTTAGTTTAGTTTGACAATATTTCCAAAATATCAAAATGGTATTCAGTTCACCATCCCCGGAAAACCGAATTTAGATAATCAATTCCCCACTCCACCAATACCCAATAATCGCGAAATTATACCCCTGGCTGGCGACGATGCAATTAAAAACGACAATATTATGCCCGTCTATAACTGGTGTCTATTTGACACTAATGATTCAATGTAACACAAAAAGGTCAACGGTGAAACAGATTTTGATATTATTTTCATTCAAATATAGAAAGTGAGCGGAACTTGTCAAACATTATTCAATTAATAAAAACGAACATAATTTAGATAAATAATCAACATTTATGAATTATATTTATATATATTATACCGTCAACCCGGCTCCACCCAACTGAACCTTATTTTACTGGGTTTTTTTTTAAATATCGAATCTAGATTGAATCCACTTAAAATCCGGTAGATTGATTTCTTAATGAATTTAACACTACTGAAGTAAAATTATTTTTGTTAATATTCGTAGATTACATTGTATACTAATCGTACATTCGGAACAAATTTAAAATTGTTAAATGCATTATTACAAATAACAATAGAAAAGTGATTTTTGTATTTATGAAAATAACAGATTATGTGATTTTATTTATGAGTTGATGGTACATTAATCGACCATTACATGTATAGAATATGATTATATTTGTAAGGTGTTCATTAGAACTCGTACTCCCCAGATCAGAGATAAGTAATGTAAATTTGTTTAACATTGATTTAAAATCGATCTTAATAGTTGATTTGTTGTAAATAAAAGAAACCACAGATATACTCGATTGAACAATAGTGATTGGAGTCAATATTCGTAAAATAATAGCTATAGATTAATAGTTTCTTGTTCACCATGTCAACATTTTCTCTTTTTTATTTCCATATTATCAAAATTGACATTCATACAAATGACATCAAATACAAATATTTGAAGGCCTAAAAATTTACCAAGAAATAGAGAAAATAGTATTTAAATTTATTGATATTTTAGTGATGCGTATAACTGCCACTATAAAATTAGTGTCTGGTGGCCTATAAAAGAAATTGTAGATAAAAAAAACCACCAAGATATTTTCAGATGTTCAGTGAGATGTGTAAAAGACTGCGCATGCATTATACAAGTGTACAATTTAAGTATTTAATGGGTGAGTAGTTTTTATACAGAATCATCGAACTATGCTAAACTGTGAAATATAATAATTACAAAATATAAACATCCTCTCATTTCACAAAAAATGCCCTCCAAAATAGTAATAATGTAAAAACTAGTCTAAAAGTAACAGATAAAAGACTACGAAGCATGTCACGATTTGTTTGTATTTTAAGCGCCTGCTATAATAAATTAATAATTATTAAAATAAAATAATCATACTAAGGTAATTTTCATCTCCCATGGAAGGACTGACTAGTAAAAAGGAATCATAATTTTTATGTATTTTTGAAGTTTTTATACTATCTTATGTTTTGTGGTAAATGTCTATGGTATATAAAATAATTTTTTAAAAAAAAGTATTGCAGACCGCCATTTAAATAAATATACAAGTGCAAATTAAATAGACATTTCTTAATGAATTGGATCTGAAATAGAAACACGCGTTCAATAATTCTGTAATTTCATGTAACGCACCCATTATCGCAAACCTATTTTAAAAGTCGGGGGCGTAAAAATGCAGAAGGGATTATTAAAATAGCCTTTGCTTTTCGCACCTTTCGGGTGTCAATTTGATAATGATGCAAAATATACAAACAAAATATTAATTTTTGAACAGGATCTGACATAGATTATTAAATAATAAAATGCAACATCCTATAGCCTATTATCGCAAATTGTTTGTTGGGATCGTAAAACAAACTGAACGAAATAAAAATTTAAATAAATACTAAATGAATACTATTTTTTTAAAAAAAAAGGATTAATATTTAAACAATCTTACAGATCTGTAAATATCCCAGCCTAATTATTAAAACACGCTCATTATTTATTATCCTGTAATAATAACAGTTTTAATTACGGTGAGAAAATAACTTTCAATAGAAATCATAATACAATAAATCTTTATAATTTACAGCATAATACCCCTTTCTATATTTTAAATAAAGTGCGATCTTAGGGCATAGAGATACATTATACAATCTTTGTATCCTATTATATGTTGCTTATTATATTTGGTTTCCTATAGTATTTTCGATCATTATGTATATATTTCACAGCTTGAAACTATATCTGATTATCACAAGACAAACAATTGGAATATATTTAGTTATTCCCGTTTGATTCATCAGTATCTTATGAACAACAATATTAATAACATGTGTACGTATATATGGCTTTTTGATGTATGTTATAAATAACCGTCATATTTTTTTGTATTGATTTAATTATAAAATGAGGATAAAGGATATATATTTCATTACCAGTTTTAATTAGAATTACGATAGTGGGAGGATATTAATTATTTTTCTTATACAAAAATAGTTTATGAAAAATTACAAATATTAAATTTAAGTATTAAAAATAGAAAGATATTGAGGAATCGTGACGAACAAAGACAATATTTAATATTTTGCTAATTGCATTCTTTTAAGGCGTTGTGTTATGGAGAGTATTAAAAGTATGTAACGATTGGTTATTATTTTCATATCAAATAACAATTTACGCTTATGTTTTATACTTGTTTTTCTCAATGAAGCGTGTAGCCACTATTGTATATCATATTTAGCTAAGTCGGAGTTTTTCTATTGTCTTTTTCTCAAACAATGAAGTCTTATTGATTCTTCTAATTCATTTTTCTAGTCATTAACAGAAGTGTTTTTTGCGTATTTGCGAGGCTAGATTTTGTAATAGACTAGGTTAAAATTAACAAAACCATGAATCCATGATTCAAAATCGAATGTACAATTTCATGCGCTTTTGATTCAAAAACCACCTCTCCAACATTTTATTTTGTCGGTAAGTGCGAACAATGCACTAATAAAAATAAATGTGTTGTTTGGGTGTCAAATGCTATTTGCCATTCCCTGCAAATAAATCAGCTTTACTTCTATATAACAATCTGCAGACCCGTCAGTAATTCTGGAAATGGGAAAACAATTGTAACAGCTACCCAACAGTCCTCAAATAATAAAATGAAAAATCCCTGTACCCAATCAAAAATTGAAAAATATATGACAAGAAAATATAAATCAGGTTGACAACTATTTATTAATATTATAAATAGCACATATAATGCTTGGTAATTTATATACATAATTTTCATAATTAAATCTTTCAACTAATCTTTCTACGGATATTTTTTTTCTCTTTATAATTCTTGTATTTTCTTAATTTAAAGAAATCTCAACATTTAATTCATCCTACCTTCTTTCTATCCTTGAGAATATTTTTCACACAATATGGATATCTCTAATAATTACAACAGCGACTCATCAGTATGAGACAGTTATATTTTTTTTCATAGTTTATAAATACGCACATTGTCATTCTATCACAGTTTTGGTATAAGTTAAACGTAGCGTCATTCATCATTCACTAGGTTGTCCTAAATATTAAATTTAACATCAATTTGTGTCTATTTTGTTCTTGCACTGTTGTTGATATCATTCTGGTTTTATCTCCGACAGGGATGATTTTGCTTCTGGTGCCGATGCATACATCGCTTCCCGCCACCTTGAAGCAGCCTCGGCAGAAATAGGTGACGTACCTGGTAAAACAACCGAATAGGATGTAGACAGCATCGGGTAGATGTATGTAGCATAAGCATCCCAAGGAGCTTGTCCGGACATATGCGAAGCTCCGGGCCTGTTCGGGATGACATTCCCCAAACTCCAAATTTCTGACTTAGAAGTTGAAAATGTGTTGTTGACTTCGGGCTTGATTTCTCCTGGTTCGGTATCGTGTTGTAGATTGACTGGAGGTGATAATTTACCGTCACTATGAGGAGATGACGGGGGAGAACTAGGTGACAGCTGTTCGTCACCTGAATGTTGACTGTCTATTTCACATACATCTACCGTTTCCCGGTCTGTATCTATCTCTATTTCAGTTTCCACTTCTTCTATGTGATTATTTGATATTTGAGACGGCCTGTGATGGTCGGGAGCTAATATACTCTCCATATCAAAAAGTCTTTTCTTAACAGGCGGTCCACTGGCCGTACCTGTTGCCGATGAACACTCCGTTTCACTTTTTGACGTAGTGTGCTCCACTACCTGGCTAATTTTCGGACCGTCTGGTCTCTCGTCTGTGTAGGAGCCTTGCCAATTAATAGGTGTCGTTGATGGGGAAGGGCTTGGACTATCCTCATCATCGGGAACAGCTAAACCCATATGTTTCCTCACCTTTCTCTGAGCACGTCGTCTCCGGAAATCACCCCGAGCAAAGTCGTCGATATTAGCCGGATGAATAGCCCAGTAATGTCCCTTCCCGTTAGCACTTCTTCCAGACTTGATAAAACAGTCGTTAAGTGATAAATTGTGCCGAATACTGTTTCTCCAACCTGGTCCACGCGTTCTAAAATAAGCGTAATTGTCCAAGATCCATTGATAAATGTCACTTAAAATTAATTTCTTATCCTTGGCCCCGAGAATAGCCATTGAAATTAGTCCTATATAACTCTGACTAGGTTTGGGTTCTTCTTGAATATACCTGGCCCGTAGATCGTGTTTATACAAGTATGCCTGTGTGTAGGGATCAGGTAGATGGGCGTGATACGGTGAAATTCCAAGTCCTGGATACCCTCTTAATCCATACTGTAATCTGGCCGCATAGTCACACAACTGCGACCGTTGAACATCCAAAGGTAGATTTCCTACCCCAGGGGCGAACGGGAAATACGGCGATGGTGTTGGTATTTTCAATCCGTAAGGAAGCAAGGTGCCCGCATTAGAACTACACATGATGATTGTGGAAGTAAAAGAGCTCACTGACAACTACTGTCGTTTTTCTAATATTAGTACACTGCTTATAAACTTGATGAAGCGTTAGATAATTAGGCCTGTCAGTCCCTCTATTGCCCACTCAGCACCGCCCCATTTCATGAATATTCAATAGACTTTGAATAGAGATCGACGAGCCGTGTTGAGCCGTCAGTTTATCATTGGCCCATTAAGTGAAATGATAAACGTGAATAGTGTATAATAATGGGTTTTGTGAAAGCTTCATCAGGCGATTACTCATCCAGTATAGTGCTGTGAAACGCTCGATAAAAATCCTCAGCCAATAGCTAGTCGCTGATTTGTTGTCCGCGGTTCATAAAACTTCTGTCTTCTATGAGCGACTGTGTTGATCACCGTTTTCAAACTCGGTTCTATTAACACACCTATTTGTTTTGTTCTAGAAATGTTGTTTAGGGCACCTTTAAGTAGCGTACATTTGATCTATCTATAGGGGCCGTTAGCCTAGTTCCCAGGTTTTTAACACTTATTTAATATACATGTGGGTTGAGAAGGGATCTGATACGTTTCGTTGTTTGGAGGTAATTAATAAATTCCAAGTTTCGAGGGTGATGGTCGTTACCACCCTGTATATTTACCAAACTGTCAAAACCCCACAGCTAGACAATAGTAGATATACCATAGGAAGATCGGTTAAGAACAATGGTATTTCGTGATCCTTGTCAAAAATGGGAGTCAACTCGGTAGGAAAACACAGAAGAGTAATACTGAGAGCGAGGCGGTTGGTAAATCATCATTAAGATGCAGAATATGATCTTTCCTATCTCCCAGCTTCTTATCCTATTGTTGCTCTGAAGTAAACTTCACGCCTGTCAAACGCCCTGTTATATTTTCAACTTATTTGTGTCCCGGTCATGACAGACTAAGGATCGAGTTCTATCTGTGTGTATTTTAAGGATTTAGGGAGCTCATTTAGTTAGGGTCACATTTTTACCTACAGCAGATTTATATATATATATATACTTATTATATTTAAGGAAGTGGTAAATAAATATTCTAAATAGATTTCTTATTTCTTTTTGTGGTTTCTGTCAATATTGTAAGATAAAGGACTTCCCTCTACTACTGAACCTTTATATGTACATTATGGGAGAATTCGCTTAAAAATCGTATTACTATTTGACCCTTGTTTTACTGTTTTAAATGAGTTGGAATTAATGTCTTTCTTACACCATTAAATTTCTATATTTGTCTACTGGCAAATTATTCAAGCGGACTTCACACGTAAAGTGACTTATTTCTTTATAACATAATTTATGTTACTATTTTTTACATTTTTTTAAATTTTGTTGATAGATACACGCCTGATCTCGGTAAGGAACATTTTAGACTCTCAATAATAAATGCTTCAGTTTGAACTGCCGCACAGGTGGTGACACATTTACAGTATCATTGCTGTTTGAAAGACAGAAATTGAGCAGTCTTAGAAAAGGAAAGAGTTATTCAGATCTAAGTTTTCGTCAAATTTTCAGGGCAGGTGTTTTTTCCTGAAAATATTAAACACCCAATTAATACATTGTGCTTCAGAATATATCAGTTAAGTGGCCATTTTACAATTTTAAGTTACATTATGTAAAACACTTGAAGGGGAGAAAATGGAAACAAATAGTTTGTTTCTACCAATTTATAGCGTATCAATGGTACTTAGCTGGTCTGTTACAAAAGTTGTAGTTTTTCTGGTATAAGTTTAAGTGGGAGTTTGGAAAATACATCTTTTTGATATAGGTTAAACAAATAACTTCTTTAAATAACACAATGAACCCTTTTTTTTAGGCTAAAAACAATATCTTTCACTATGTAGGTTTTCTCCAGAATCTGAAGATTGTTATCAGCGTCATTACCATTATAAGAGTATCATTGCCCGAAACATATTATTTGGAAATCTAAAGATTTCTTTTTTTTGACAATATGGACCTGATGTGACATTTACAGAGATTATCGTGCACAAGATGAATAATAGAATTAAATACACTAATTCCATAGTTTGGGTCATCTCATTAGAAGCTGGATTTAAAAGTATTATTGTATATAATGTTTGATGTTTTGGGGACACTTTCTGACAGTTCAAATACTCTTATTGAAATATTAGAGTCTAGAATGACTCTAATTCAGTAATAGTTGGTGCATTAAGGTATTTACAAAGAGAGATTTAGTGTGTTATCTTATCACATCAAAACATCAGTAAACAAAAACCATAAAAGATTAGAATTCAATTAAATTCGGAAGTCGACGAGGTAAGCCTTGCTTGATTTGTTGAAAAGAAGCTGAAATAGGAGATGCAGTTTTTAGTTTATAAAGGGATTACTTATTGTTATTTGGCTATGTACGGCGTCGCACTTCGACCACACAACCAGACAACGAGATCAACGACTCAATTGCATTAATACAATCCATTATATTATTAATATTGGAGTTTATATCGGGTTTGATCCACTGACTGTTCAGATCTTTATACTGATATTAAATGGTGTCAAACGCTTGTTTGATAAACACAATCATATACTGAAGTACACAATATAATATAGATATTATTAGCAAAACGATAAGTATTAGGATTTAATGATCTTGTAAGATAATCCTTTAGTGGCATTTAGCAATTGTAAACATAAGATATAGATACTGTTGTCTTAAGGACATGTTCAGATCATTTTTAAAGCTATCTTTAGGTCTTTAAAATATGTCATTTAAATTTGGCTAAATCCACGTATAGGTTTCAAATTATATGTTGCGAACGGAAGAGTTTTTCACACTATTGATCAATCAGGGATGCCATGACATTATTAAGAGATCGATATGGTATTGCAATTGGTATCAATAAAATTCACTCTATATTTACACTTAAAGGCATGAAATCAATACAAAAACGATTTTTAAACACCAAAATTTCATAAACTTTTTTTTATTTATTCAGTACACATGAAAAGACTGCAAATAATCAAAGAGTCAGATCTGTCTGTAAATTATCCTGTCACCGCCGATGAGATACAAATATAACATGAAGGTATTACCTTCAATCAGAGGAATTATGGAAATAAATACCGTTTCAGAATATAATCTTTGGTTAAAATAGCCGTCTTTAAAGGGGTATTCTGCATAGATTTTCTTTTGTCTTACTACTTGCTGCCCGTGTCCTGCCTTTTGTTTTGATTGTCCTAATACACCAAATATTGTTGAACTTAAATATTTTCGAACTAATAGATCTTTAGACATCAAAGTCTGTTTAGCCACAGTTTTTTTTATATATAATAATTGAATTTTATACACATTAAGGAACGAGTACAAACTAAAAAATAAATGATATATATATCAAAGGTTCGCGAAGATCATCTCAAAGTTACTCGACAACCTTTCATAAGGCCTCGATAATTCATATTTAGTAATATCAAACTTTATCACAGCTGTCTGTTGCTTTCAATACAGTATGATGGTGGTCTCGAAAGATCTCGCAAGACCCGAACTCTGGGTTATTCACACTAACATGTTAATCTAACTTCAGAATATCTAATTATAACCGAGATATCACGTGACAATTGTTCCAGCACATCAGACAAGAGCAGACACTTTACGTCGATTTGTTAAAAATTTGATACGAATCTTAAACAAAATGTTGAAGAAATGAATTAAGGTTGTATGAATAACAGATCTAGACGAGTAATAGGAAATATTTTAAAGTATTATTTGGTAGGGATATAGGTCGATCGTATTTACTTTCTTTTGCTAAAATAATTATGTTTCGACAATATTAACCTACATTACACTAAATCAAAACATAGATTTGTTTCACTTATCGTAGTAGCCACGGCGGCTTAGTGAGTAGGCCGTTGGCTCGCTAACATGGATGTCCCGTGTCCGATCCCTTCGTTGGCCGAGAAAGCTGATCGGAAATTTCCGGCGTGGGTTCCCTTGTCAGCGGTGTAGGACAAAGTGCCTAGCTAGGGACAACGTATAGTCGTTCGGATGGGACAAAAAACCGAGGTCCCGTGTAAACGTGTGTGTGTGTGTGTGAGAGAGAGAGAGAGAGAGAGAGAGAGAGAGAGAAAGAGAGAGAGAGAAATGGGGTTTAACGTCCCCTGGACACAAACTAGGTCATTTCGGGACTAACAAATGGCTCAACTTTATTTCAATAATTCGCTTGGGCGTAGGGGTCTTTAGCAGTGGGAGAAAAACGGAGGACTCGGAGAAAACCCACGAGGTTGGACAGGCGACCCTACTCCTTGTCCCGTATATATACAGCCAAGGAATCGAAACCACGCCAGTTGACTGAATGACAGCGCGCACGTGCTAACCATTCGGCCACCCCCCCCCCCCCGGTCAGTTGCTGATTTATATCTAGCAAAATGTTTCCAAATGCATCAACTAATCGAGACAAAGTTTGCAGAATCGAAAATGTTAATTTTCCTGTATAACGAATACTTGTAGTTGAAAAGCCGACGGGAGTTCAGATATGCATACACCGGATCCGTCAAAGTAAACATTCATTTAAAATAAGTAAATGAATCAACACAAAAGATATGTATTTCGTAACACCTTTCAAGCAAAACATACTCTAGATTCCAAAAAAGAAAAAAAACATTGATTGAAAAGAACCGTTCATGAAATAAATTAAATGTTTCTTATCTTTTTTGCAGCTTTATTAAAATTTATTTAAAGAGAAAAATAATAATAATAATAGATATTCGCATCACAAGAATATAAGCACGTGTCATCTCTATACACACACCCAAAATAACATACAAATTATATGTTTTAATAACAAAAAATCAGTGAGAAACTGTATGCATCTAGCGGATACACCTATTTACATATCCTTTAGTATTACACAGCTCTACCTTTCAATATGTCGACACAGAAAAACAGTTTGTAAATAGGAATTATTCCATCAATGTCAAAATCAGACTAAAAGGGTATACAGCCTTGTATTTATTTAGTTAATCGAAAACTTT